TTTACAGAAATCATGTATATATACTTTTCTGTGTACCCTAAGGCAAGGTCGTGGATCCTTGTTTTGTTTGTTTCTTTGTTTGTTTTTGTATTTTCATGCAGTTAGCCGGTCTCCTCTCTCCCCACTTCTTTTTCGCCCCTCCCCTCCCATGATCTGCCCACCCCCCTTACCACTCCCTGTGTCTTCTCGACTAAGAAATAAAATTTGAGGGCTGGGTTTTCTGTAGCCTGGGGATTCAAGATGGGGTCTCTAGGTAACCTTGGTAGCTAGCCCTTTCCTCTTGTTAAATGTCCAATGTCAATGTTGGCCTCTCAGCGATGCATTTTCCTCTAGTGGGAGAGACATGGTGTGGGGTTTGAAGACTTATCTGCATCAGATAGAGCATGGGTTGTTCGCTTTCCTCTTCATTTTTCACTCCCCATAAACCCAAGAGGCAAAAGACTTCGTTTCCTCCTTCACAGGAAAGACCGCTAGAAGAAATAGCACCTGGGGGTCCCCGAATGCCTTCTTCCATCACCACGCCCCAGTAGACCTCCAAATTCCAGCAGGTTCTCTGGGCTCCAGCGGACGCTGAGCAGCTTGGGGCTTTCTGCAGTGCCTCCTGCCACCTCTACTTAACGATGTGGATTATTGGAAACTTCTGGCCACCAGCCCTTTCCACAGTGTGAGGGCTGCTGACGGAATTTTGTCGTTGGCTTGTTTGTTTTCATTATTCTTACGTAGCGATGCTGGAGGGTGAGAGTGGGAAGCATTTGAGATCTGGTTTTACTCTTTTATCTCAAGGAACAGGAAGTTCAAACTATTGTAATCATTTCTAAATCATCCACTGCCATGGGAAAATGGCTAAAATAAATAGCCCACAGCAATCACCTCTGGAAAGAAAATCGTGTCCCTTGAGAAAAGGTTGAAATCCGAGGGAAAGTTCAAAAGAGAATTTTGATCGATGTTATTAATTGATCTAGACTAATACAGGAGAATTATTTCTTATTCAAATCTTCTTTGAAAGTTACAATTCGGATCAAACTCTTCAAAAGGCACTTCATTCGGAAAGGATAGAACGTTAATCCTTTTTGTTCCTGTTTCCTATCACCATAGAATCTGGCAGAAACAACAGTAAAAAAAATTACGAACCCAGAATACTAATATCATTATTGAATTTATGGATTTTTCTTCCCATGGCCATTCAACAGCTCGTCTGTGGGGACTAAGCACCTTTTCTATTAAGACAATATAGAAAACGAGTAATTCTGAGCACAGTTTAGATCCCTGCTTTACTTACGGTTTTCTGGCTCACCTCAGACTTTAAGTGTACGTGAACAGGCTGTAAACACACGTCAACAAATTGTATTGCTCTCGGGATGATTTGACAACATTGATTACACAAGCCTTAAATTTTTCGTCACACAGATTCAGATCATCATCACCTATGGTTTCCCCATTTTTCTTTGCATTTACAACAATTGCATTTCCACAAAGCTGGTGCGATCTCGTTTGGGCTCGGACTCTGGATAAGCTTCGTGTTTTTCACTCATACAGGGCCTATGGAAGATGCCCTCTAGGCCAGATTTTCTCCTGTACCTCCAAAGATAAAAGACTCCTACCAAGAGGATGAGATTTGCCTCAAGCTTTCAAAATATGATATCCAAGCTCATTACTTGCGTGCCACTCCAGTCAACTGGAGTCAAACCCGCCCCGCAGAATCACCGCCCGTGACCTTGTCTGCCATTTACAAAATGACTTCCCAAACCACAGAGGGTTAATTTGGAGCACACCTCTCGGTAGGAAGGCTTGTGTTTATCTCTGAAGAGTCCAAACGGGTGACAGCCAGGGCAGTATCTTGTCCAACACGGATATTTCCGTTTTCAAAAAAGAAAAAAAAAAGTGCGTCGTTTTTAATTTTTTTTTTTTTTTAAACATCCCCTATAAGGTCCCAAACTACAGCCCTGGGCCTTCAGGTTCCTTGGAAGCTACCAGATTGTGCAATGCGCTGTCACAGAATGTCATATTAGAGCCCTGCCGCAGTCTCATCCAATACGTAATCTGGCATGAAGAAAAGTTAACTGAATTAGTGGCCAACTGGGACACTTGGTGACCTACTCTTTAGGAACTAAGTCCTCTGAACTTTTCCATTCTGCTTTGCCTTCCTCCTTTAATAGGGACTGAATCCCCATTAACAATTGAGCGGCGACAATGAGTGCCATCAGGAAAAGGAAATTCAATTTTCGTGGGGGATGACAGCCTTACCTTTTCGCGCTTAATTGGCCGTATTGTCTCCAAAAGTTAATTGGTTACTTAGTCCAGGTAGTTAGTAAAATGTTTAGCTGCGTCAAAAAGCTCAAGCTCCCACTGTTAATGGGGCATGAAATGGAATGTTTGATACTGCAAATAAAATCAGTGATATTCAAGGATGTTATGGTAGGTAATGCGTTGAAACTGCCATTTAATGGGTCCTGGAAGATTAGGGTAGTGTCAGCCAGAACCGCCCGGTCTCTTTTCTGACATTGTTAGTTGCCTCTTCATTTACTTAACGGCTGTCTGCACTGATTACATAGGCATAAAACTCCCTACAAAAAAACAACAGAGACACGCTCTATTAGCAGTCCAATTAGAACTATTTGCATATTACAGTTCATTTCTGCTTAAGTGAATCCCTAATACAACTTTAGGAAAAAAAAAAAATCCTATTGTGTCATTTGAAAGAAAGAGAAAAGAACTTAAAGGTGATCTTTCTCTCCCTTTCTTCCCTCCCTTCCTTTTTTCCCCTCTGCTCCCTTTCTCTCTCTCTCTCTCTCTCTCTCTCTCTCTCTCTCTGTCTCCCTTCCTTTCTCTCCTCTGCCTCAGATATTATTCTCTACCTTGGGCAGACAGGAGAAACACAGACTCTAAAACGTGACACAATGTTGTGGATATCTGTGAAGACGAGGGCACCGTTGGGATGAGAATTCGGCCCTGCAAAAGTCCAGCGTGGTGCCCTGTGCCGTGTTAGGCTTCGTGTAGACTAGGTGTCGACTTCTGAGGGGTGGTACTGATCCGTTTTACATCAGCTATTGCTTTGAATTTTCGAGCACAGCAGTTCACATTGGTAACCACGTCCCTGGTGAGTCAAGAGCCCTTGACATGGTGTCGGTGTCACTTTCCACAATCACACAGAGCAGAAACGGGGCTCTGGTGTCCGCCTCTGTGCCTCGAAGGGCTCCAACCGTTCGCATCTGGTGGATGTGCCCCTGCGCATAATATTAACTCCTAGGACATCAATTTGATCTCGGGCAGGCGCAGGTAGTGGCCAGTGTGCTTAGAGCAAGGCTGAAGCTCTTACCTTACCCGACGTTTCTCGGATTTTCCAAAACTTCGTCCTCGGGATCGCCTGATGGCTATTTATGAAGGCATTAGCTATGTTTTATTTACATTATTATTAATATTTATAATGACAACAGTACAGAAATCAGAGGGCCTTTTAGTGAAGTTGGAAAGGAGGCTCTCGCCGGCCTAGGCTGTGATAAATCCTGATGAACTACAGTCAGCATGCCTTAGAGCAGGTGTTTTAGGAATACACGGGGTGGTTTGAGGTAGCAGGTGCCGGTGGATGTTCCCGAGATGCGCCACAGACTTCCACCCCACTACCGAGTCTCTCTGAGCCCTGTGAGTTCGTGGGAGGCCAGGAGACTGTAGAGATCATGTGTAGGCGCCCAAGGAGGCCGCCTGTTGGGAAGGAGAAACGGGCCCGCTGCATAGGTGTCTGTTGGGAGGACAAGACTGGGGCGGAGGTGTGATCAAAAGACCCCTCCGCGTGGGAGGGTCTCCTGGACAGCGAGAGGACGAAGATGCCACGTTAGGAAGTTTCAAAGCCCCGGGGACCTTCCATCGGGGGCTCCTGCCGAGTCCACCAATGGCTTTTCAACCCAATGCTGAACATTTTATTTGGGCTGAGAAAACCCCCGCAAGGAGACAGATGCATGCAGGGGCAGGACCGGAAACCTCCCTCAAAGCATCTGGCCCCAACCCGCCCCGCCCCCCCCCCCGCCCCCCCCCCCCCCCCCCCGGGCGGATGGGGGCATCTTAATTTCGGGGATCGTGGAGACAGAGCGCCTGCTGGGACTGGCCTGCTTCCCTCCGCACAGAGCCCTTGGGTCCCAGCCTCGGATGCAGAATCCCGCCCTTGAATTTCTTCAGGCCCACGACTGATGAGAGTCCCCACATCTGACAACCAGATCAGCCCTCTTCCCTTGAATGGATGGGGGGGGGGGCGGCGGGCCGGGGGGGATGACCTCTGTGAATGGCCATGAATTGTAGCCATTTGGTTGGGGCTCTGCCTAGTTACCTAGAAAAGCCCGGGGACACCTTGGATGCTCACGTGTCTATGGAAATCCCACCGGGGTGTTTCCAAAGCCCCTGCCACCCGGTTCCCTTTTCACCTACAGCCCTCATTTCACAGGTCAGCCCCCCCTCCCGCCCCCATCCCCTGGATTTGTCAGTAGATCTAGCCGTTCGGGAGTTGACCACGACCCACAGGGGACCAGAGAAGGAGGCATTAAAGGTGACAACGCACTCCTGGCGAAACCCCAGCCACCCCTAACCGGCCCTCTTCCCTTTCCGGGCCTCATCCATTATTAGAAGCGTCGCACGGACGAGGGAAGGCAAGCGACCACCGCCGCCACCCGGGAGGACTGCGAACACACGGAACAAAAAGGCCACACAGAGGCGAAGGCAGCACCCTCGCTCTGTCATTTTCACTTCCTTTCGCCGCGCGAGCCGAGCCGCGGTGTGAGAGGTGCTGGCTCTGCCTGCCATGGGGACGGTTGTGACGCCCCGTTGGGTCCTGCGTGCGCTCTCTCCAGCTTTGATCGGCTGTCATTAACACGGCCACCAGAGGAGCACCGTCCGAAGCCGGGGCGGACACGCCGGCCCGGTTGGCTCCGCGCAGGGGCCCTGCCAGTGGTGGCGAGACGGTGCCCG